ATACACATTCACACACACATACACACACTCATACACATTCACACACATTTATACACACACTCATATGGATTCACATATACACACTCATACACACACATAACACACATCCACACACACATCCACACTCATACACACACTCATACACACGCATACACACACATATGCATACACACACACACACACATACACAAACTAAGAAAATTAAGTCTTAGAAACATAGCTTCCTGCTGTGTTGATTATAAGTGCTATCATTTTCTGTGAGAGTGTATTTCCTTTCACAGACTAAGTTTGTGAAACTACACAAGAATGAAATTGGCTCAAACACTGAAGACTTATTTAAGGAGCTCAGAGGAATAAAATGTAGTAGATTCGTTATCAGTGTATAGCACTGGTTAGAAATTTATAATTGGATCCAATTTCTTCTTAAATTATTTTCCATTATCATCATCATTATTGTATGGTGTGTTTGTGTGACACATATAAAGCCAGAGGATAACTCAGGGTTGGTTCTCGTCTTCCACCTGGACAAGGAAGGATCTTCTTGTTGGCTCTCCCATTCTGCCTACCCCAGGCTGGCTAACCTATGTGCTCATATCTCTGCCTCTATTCCTACGGGAGGAGTGCTAGGATTGCAAATGTGTGTCTCCACAACTGACTGTTTTACTTGGATTCTAGGGACCAAATTCAGGTTGTCAGGCTCTATGGCAAGTGCTTGTACCCACTGAGTCATCTCACTGAACCTGGATTCAATTTCTGAACCAGCTCCCCTGGCAGAGGGAAGTTCTTTCTGGTGGCAGCATGCACAGCCTGAGGCAGCGGGAGACAAGAAGCCTCATGTGCTAAAGGGAAGGTCTGCCTATGTTATTAGTCCAGATATAGCTAACTTGATGTTAATTAACTTGTTGTGAGTGGGTCTCGGGAGCATAGATATTAGAGATACAAGCAATTTGATTCAGCTGAGATTTAGTTTTTTTTAGTTTATTTGCAGTGTTATGGGAATGGCCCTAGGGCTTTGTGTATGTTAAGCAAATACTCTATTCGTAAGCTAATACTCCCTAATTGTTTCTTCCGTCTAGCTCTCTATTTATCTGTTTTGAGATTCATTATATTTCCCTGGTTGGCCTGAAACTCACTATGTAGACTAGACTGGCCTTGAATTTTACAGAGATCTGCCTGTTTCTATGCTGGGGTTAAAGGTGTGTGCATCCATGCCCGATTTGCTTTTTGATTTTGAATCATGATCTCTTCTAGCTGAAGCTGGTCTCATACTCACTAAGGAGTCAAGGGTGACCTTGAATTCCTGATTTTGTTGCCTCTACCTCTCAAATGCTGAGAGTAAGGGCATCTTCCACCAGGCCCACATTATGTGGTGCTGGGGACTAAATTGAGCTTTGTGCATGCTAGGCAAGCACTCTGCGCAACTGGGCTACAGCCCCCACCCTCAACTGAGCCATAGTCACATGTTCTTTGCATGGTTTAGGAGGAACTCCTGATGCATCTGTGGAGGTATCCATCTCTCTCCATCCATGGCATTGAGGGTGCGTTTGATCAGCCTGGAACTAAAACAGTCATTCCTGGCCGAGTCCTAGGAAAATTTTCAATCCGTCTAGTCACTCCAATGACTCCGTCTGTGGTGGAGAAACAGGTAAGACACTACGCTCAACAGTACCATTTCTGGGTCCCATTCACTATGGCAAACTAAGCAGTTCTGTGGTTATTGCTGAACTTTCTTTTTTTTTTCTTCAATACAAAGAATGAAATAAATGTCATGAGACCCCCATCAGTCTTACTTGGGGCAAACCTCTTTCCTCAATTATACATGCAATTACAGAGGTCAGAGAAATAGCCATTTGGAGGTGCAGTGATGGGAAATTTTTAAAAATTAGACAGTAGCTATAAAAGGAAGATTGGTTTTACACATAGATGGAGTGGGCAGGTGACTACGCTTGGCTGGAGCCAGAAATTCTCAGGCCCGAGCATTTCTTACTCATGATGTTTGAAATCAGCGTGTTGAAAGAGCTGTGTAAGGAGAACACTATCTGCAAGGAGTGATCCGTCTATGCTATCAGCCCATTATTAATTTACCTCCAGTTGTTTTAACAGGGAGTAGACTCTTGAATAAGGGAGCTCAGGAAATACCTCAACATCCTCCTTGGTGGTCTCGCCCTTGTCAGTCCTCTGTCTCAGTCTTGGGCTCTAATTGCATTCTAAAAGCCTCCTTCCCTCTTCCATCTGTCCTTCCCTCCTGCTGCTTTCCTCCCTTTTGGAAGCACTGCTGTTATATCTTATAATACACATTCTACAAGGGCAGGCCCTTCCTTGTCTCATTCTTGGCTACATCCTCAGCCATCCTTGGGGCTAATGAATTCTAGCTGCAGGAATGAATGGAAGCAATCATCTGGAGGCTGGAGCCTCCTGGAAGGAGTTCCTCATCAGCCATCAGAAAGGAGCAGAGAGGATTGTTGAGATGCCTCCTGCACTGTTTAGCTTGGAGTTGCTTCCACTTTGCAGAGTTTCCCAGGATGTGCCGTGTCCCCCAAATATTCACTAGAGTGCTACTAGATCAGAAAACCAAAGTCATTGCAATTAAAGAACTGTATTTCGTTATGGTTCATAAGTTTGCAGCAAACATCACTGAGCTGCCACTGTGGATGAGGGACTGTGCAGGTACATAGGTTGAGGGGTAAGTAGAGCCCATGTTTCCCCTCTGGGTAACGCCTTGGAAGCTCCTGTTCACCGTCACACACCCAGTGGCATAACTAAGGGCTCACAATGCTCCAACTCCTCAGATCAGGGTTTCTACTGGTTTCTGGATGGAACACTATACACTCTGCATGAACCAAGTCCAGCATTCTTACCACTGACTGTGTCACCTTCTAGGTGACTCAGCATCTCGAAGCTGTGTTCTCTAAAAGGAATAGTTTAAACAAGATGGCTGTTTCTATGGTACTAGGACTCCACCCATGGACTGCAAACATCAATGATACTCAGTACCTTGCAGCACAAAGAGCCATCAAAGCAGGTGGGACTGATATTTTGATCCACCCATTTGTAGCAGGGCCAAGCTACTTTTAAAACTCAAGTATCAACTGTCTTCTTTATCTGTGGTGCACTGGTTACAGTTTTCTAGTATCAATAGAATGAGTATGAGGAGTATGAGTTTTCAGAATCAATAGAGTGAGTATGTATTGAAAGGGAGTTTATCTGGCTGCTTTTCCTGAGACAGTCTGGGCACTTCAACAGTGGCTGCATTACACTGTGAGATAGCTGCTTACTCTGTGAGGCTGGATGCTAACTTGATGCCGGAGACCTGGAAGATTCCTAGAGGTCTTCAGAGGGGTTACTCCATTTTGTCTGCCATTTTGTCCAGTCCATTGCCCCAACCAATGGACTGCTATCTCCCACATTCAGGGTGGTTCTTCTCCCTACTAATAAATTCTCTTTGGAAACACTCTCCCAGAGTCACACAGAGCTGTGCCTCAGCCTTCTAAGGTAATTCTAAATCCAATCAAGCTAACAATGATTAATGGTCACAGGCACTTAGCTACTAAACAGTAAAGCCAGGGTTCAAATTAAAGTCGTCGGGAAAAATGATAGATTAGGAAAACTTAATACTCTCCTGAAGGAAAACTTATAGACATGTTGGCCAACACATAAAAAAATATCATGGGAGAAACTTAGGGATTATAATGGAGAAGCTGTGGTCCAGTGCAAGATCATCCCTGTGAGCATCTCTTCTTGGTCATAGAAAGGAACATGCTAGCCAGGCAGTGGTGGCACATGCCTTTAATCCCAGCACTTGCGAGGCAGAGGCAGGTGGATTTCTGAGTTCGAGGCCAGCCTGGTCTACAGAGTGAGTTCCAGGACAGCCAGGCTTACACAGAGAAACCCTGTCTCAAAAAAACAAAAAAAGAAAAAAAAAAAAGAAAGGAACATGCTGTATAGGCCTATGGGCAGTATGAAGCAGGGATCAAAATGAGACCCAACATGTAAAGGTAGTTGTCTCCTGAGAGCACTGCTTGGTGTGTGTGTGTGTGTGAGAGAGAGAGAGAGACAGAGACAGAGAGACAGAGAGAGAGACAGAGAAAGACAAAGACAGATACATGGAGAGACAGAGAGAAACAGAGATAGACAGCTAGACAGAGATAAAGACAGTGAGAAAATGAGAGATCCACCATCTTTGTTGTGCTTTGAATGAATACAACTTTCTCTAATAATTTACAGTCCTAGGCCCCTCCTTGCCCCGTCCAGCAGGAGTCCAGGGAGATCACCTGAAAGAGAGAATGGGGAAACAGGTAGACGCAAAGTATGATGGCTTGTCTATAGGCTGATCAAACTGTCCGTCGATTTTACTTTTTTCACACAAGGGTTATATACACAAAAAGGCAGGATGTGGGGAAGGGGATGACTCAGGAGCGTAGGTGTTCAGGGGGAGTACAGATATCTTCCAGAACAGAGTATCGGCTGGGTGAAGGTTCAGGGGACATGTCACTATGACTCTGTACATGATTCACTTGTCCTTATCTAAGATGGTCCTATCCACCAAGGCTACTCAAGGTATCCACAAGACCTGTGACTACTTGATCTTTATCAAGTTTGGTAAATTTCTACCAAAGCTGCCTGTTTACAATATCTTACAGCTATCTGTTTCAGTGTTTTTTCACAGAGACCCAAGACTTTGTGTCACAGAGACCCAAGACTTTGTGTTAGCAGGTTAACTTAGGCCTATGGCTGATTTTAGGCCTTCAGTGTATAAGTAGGGCTGCCCCTGACACCTCCTTACTTAGCTTTGCTACTCTGGTTGTGATTCACCACATTCTGAGTCTATAGCTGGACTGCTTGGTTCATGTGACCATGAATATGTGGTTTCCACAAAAGGCTTTATGGAAATAGATCACTGTGGTGATTCTTGGTTGTTGATTATATCTGGAATTAACTAAAACCCGAATGTCTGGGCATATCTGTGAGGGATTTATTTTTTCTTAATTAAATAATTTAAACTGGGAAGATCTACTTCCAATCTGGATCTTTGAGGTAGGAAGATCCACCTTTAACCTGGGCCACACATTCTGTCTATACAAAGGACATGGAAGAAGGAAGCTTGCTCTCCTTGCCTGCTTGTCTTTGCTCTCACTGGGCAAGTCCATTCCTTAGGAATATTCAATGCCTTTGTTTCCATGGCAACAATACCTTACTAGACAGATTCCTACATATACTGAAGACAAACAGAGACCTCCACCCTTGTGGACTGAGCAAAATAGGGAAGCCCAGACCTTTTCTATTAATTCTTTAGAGTTATTTTATTTTATGTGTTATGAGTGTTTTGCCTGTATCTGCATCAGTACAACAACTGGAGGTCAGAAGAGGGCATTGGAGCCCCTGGAATTGCTGTTATGGATGATTGTGAGACCTGTGTGTATGATGAACCAAGATCTTCTGGAAAGGGCAGTAAGTCTTTTTACCCACTGAGCCATCTCTCCAGCCTTGCCCAGACCTTTTTGAATCATAATCTCTCTGCTGGGATTGAAGGATACAGACTTGAAAAAACACAGAATAAATCCAAGACTTAGTGCCCTGCTCTCCTATAGTGCCATTCCTAATGATCCCATTGTTGACAGACATCTTACTAACGACATATCAAAGGGAAGAGTCAGGAAGGCAATTGGAATGCTACAGAGAAATGACGTGTTTGAAACAGCAAAGGCAGATACCATGAAGGGTTATGAAATACTTTGGCTGGAATGCATTGGACACTTTTTGGCCTGTGGCGAATGGCGAAAATTAACCACTACACAGGGCACAGTTTTGTGTGCACAGGGGGCTTTCTTCCCTGGCACTTCCTGTGGTCCTCATATCAGTCTTCAGATAGCAGAGGACCTGAAGGTTTATAGAGACATTTGCTAAAGAGCACTGTGCTAGCTGCTGAGAGCAAATCTGCTCTAACTACAAGGCTTCCATCCACATTCTAACTTGTCTTTGTGAGTAAAGAGAGGGGACATGGGGTGGCAGAGATGGCTCAGTGGTTTAGAGCACTTGTTGCTCTTGCAGCTACCCAGGTTCAGTTCCCTGTACCCACACGATGGTTCAGAGCCATCAGTAACTCAAGGTCCAGAGGATCCACACCTGCTTCTGACCTTTGTAGGGACCAGATATGTTTGTGGTATACAAAGAGGAGCAGGTACGACACACATGCACATAAAAATACAATAAATAAATAGATCTAACTTTAAAAAGAAGAGGTGGCCTGCTTTATTTTGTTTCTTTATTTTCCATCTCCACTCCTCCACTGGTAACTTTTTCTCAGAGCTAGCGGTTGAGCTAATCTTCATCTAGCGCCAAGCGCAGCAGATGAAAGTACGTCATGAGGTACCTTGAAAACTAGAAAAAAGCTGATGGCATGAGGTTGATAGGTAAGGTCAGAGATCTTTATATATGTCACCTTAAGGTGATGACAATGATGATGATTACAGTGACGAAACTCCACTTCCATAATATTTAATTCATGATCCTGATGATTAACTTTAACTGTCAACTTGATGCAACCGAGAATCACCTGGACAGAAAGTCTCAACCCAGAACTGCCTAGATTGGGTTGCCCTGTGGGAATGAGTATGGGGGATTGTGTTGGTGACGTTGATTGATATGGGAAGACTCAATCAGCTGTGGGTAGCTGGTTACACACAAGCCTAGCACCTGGGAGGCAGGGGACTCTGAGTTTGACACAAGTCTGAGCTATATAGTGAATTCCATCCCAGCTTGGTCTATTTGACAAGACTCCAAAGAAATAAAGAAAAGTACACATTACTATATTCATAGTCTTGCCATGATTTACTCTAGTGCCTTCTTTGCCTGTGTTTTAGTGTTTGGAGTTGATCCTGATATGATTCAGGATGGGTCAACCATTCCAATTGCCAAAATATTCCAGGCTATCACACAAAAGAGTGTGATGATGCTCCCACTGGGGGCTGTGGATGATGGAGAACACTCTCAGAATGAGAAGATCAACAGGTGAGTGGACCCTGTGAAAGCAGGGAGCTCTATGTGGGCCTGTCCACTAGTCTTGTGTGAGACTGGACAATAACTGACCTGGTGGCTTAAGGCTGGAGTCTTTTCTCCCCACATTCCTTAGGTTGGGAATCCAGGTTAAGCCTCTTTTCGGACCACTGCCATTCCTGTGTGTCTTGGAGTGACAGGAAAAGAGCTGAGGAGGAGAGAGAAGTGAGGAGGAGAAAAGGATGGTCCTGCTGGAGACAAGCAAGGGGCTCCAGTGCGCCGTTCCCCATAAGTTCACCAAGCCCGTGGAATTATGAGACATCCCCTAAGATTGCTTAAATTTAATCATCTTCTCACTTGAAGGCCCACCCTCCATTGTTGTCTCATTGTGGGTGAGGGCTTCAATGTATGGGTTTGGTTTCTATAAACCTCCAAACTAGGGATAAACTGGAATGTTTGATTCTTCAATCCTTGCCACCAAGGAAAGGCAGGTGGGGCAGTGCTCTGCAGGAATCCTATCACCCAAAGAGGCTAAGGCAGGGGGATAAAGCAAAAGCAAAGATAATGGGGATTTGGGGTTGAGTCCAGGATTAATTGCCTCCTCTTCCTTCTCCTCCTTGTTTCTCTCTTCCTCTTCTTACTCCTTCTCCTTCTTCTCTTCCTTCTCCTCCTTCTTCCTCTTCCTGCTCCTCCTTCTCCTCTTCCTCCTTTTTTCCTTCCTTTTTATGTTCTGAGACAGAACCTCATTCTATACCTCTGGCTGACCTGGAAATATCTATGCAGACCAAATTGGCTTTGAGGTTTCAATGATCCTTTTAGCTGTTTTCCAAATGCCAGGATTTGTCATTGGATACTACATCTGGATATCGTCTTCTTAATAATACTAATACTAATACTAATACTAATACTAATACTAATACTAATACTAATACTAATACTAAT